TTGCATATTATATATATATATATATATATATATATATATATATATATATATATATATATATATATATATATATATATATATATATATATATATATATATATATATATATATATATATATATATATATATATATATATATATATATATATATATATATATATATATATATATATATATATATATATATATATATATATATATATATATATATATATATATATATAATATGCAATGTATATGTGAATTTGAATTGTCTCTAAACGTACCCCGAGAATTAACAATTACTAATTAATAAACAACGATGAAACAATAACATATATTCGCGTATAAGTGATTAACATGATCGCGATTTGGGAAATGCCGACATGTAATATCCATCGACTCAAGCGTAATTTCGCTCGCGTTTTAAAAATATAACATATGAATATGTATAATAAACATTTGATCATTAATATAAACATGGATAATGTGTGATATCTCATACACTTTTATATCGCGAAGAGAATAATTCTAACAAATCAGACAATAATTATTTCAAAAATAATAAAGCGAATCGTGACATTTTTACAAAAAATATATTTTCTTTACAAAAAATTTTGCTTTACATAATTTATAACGCAGATTATTTGAAAAATATGGGTAAAGATTTTTTTAACAAACTTTGTTATTGGAAATTAATTCAATTTTCAAACTGTAACACTAGTTGATAAAAGTGATTTTCTCCGGTGCCGATCATAAATTTTTGTAATAGCGCATAAAGCCTCACTATCGAGCAGTAACGTGCCAAACTATCAAAACTATTATGGTCCAAACAGATATACCTCTTAAACGATTTAACGAATATTTAGACCTTGGTTCTCGTGTTCTTTACACATTTTGCTTCTCATTACTGTTATTGACTTATTGTAATAATCTCTGTTTATTATCTTTGGACCTCTCAAAATTTTGCGCTTTGCTTGACTTCTTCCAAGAATATTTCCATCAAAATTGTTTAATGTTATTCAAAGAACGACAAGAAGATTTGCAACTCCTTTTTTTTACGCAATCTATTATAAATTACATGCTATATTTCACGTGCGACGTAAAGTTTATTAATAAATATATATGAAAATTATTGAATAATATCGCATTTGTGAAAATGATTATTGTTCAGCATGATACTACATGATCCTGTGGTATTGTTATTTCATTAAGTCATTGCTTTACCATCACACGTACACACGTGTCACATTTCGTGAGAACTTCACACGTACACGCGTCTCACATTTCGTGAGAACTTCCTCTCTCGAAAACTGCAGCGATCCTCAAACTGTGTTTCATGACAATTTACGATAAAAACAAGTATTATAATGTTTCACAAAATCTTATATGAAAGGAAAGACTCTGCAAGAAAGCCTGAGAAATATTGCGCTACAACGTTTGCTATAACTAAATAGTAAAAAACATTACACAACATGATGAATTCAGTTCATTAGGAATTAAAAAAAATATATTTATACCTTTTAGAATTTACAATAAACACATATTGCATGTGTATTATCTAAGAAAGCCATAAAGAGGTTTTATTCGGCCGAGCTTATCTTCTTCTTCTAATTCTTTCTTAAGAGCTTCGTTTAATTTAAGACCGATGCCCTTTCCTACCTGTGAAGTAGAAATCGAAAGTTTAGATTCGAAAACAAATTCTACATTACAATTGAACCCTTATATTGTTTATTCTTTTTACTTTCCTATCATGTAGAATAAGAAAACTCACTTTCTGATTCTATGCATGTCATCAAATAATTATGCAAATCTGAAAAATCAGTGGGGAAGCAGTGCAAGAAAAGTGGTAAATAATAAGAAAGTAGAGAATAAGCAAGCAGAGAATAAGCAATGCAAGGTCTTAATATTCGTCTTTAATCTTTAATATATGTATAAAAATTTAAAAAAAACATACCTCCAACATCTTAATTAAGGTATTAGGCAACAGGCTGCCATATCCCAGCTTGATCACAGATGTCACTTTGCCATTCGGCATTACGGACATAACGAGACTAACCGCACTACACGATTCCTCTTCTAACGTTGGATCTATCACGAAGTGATCACCAATCTGTCAAAGGAAGGAAATATCGTTTTTCAGTCAAAACGTTAAAGGCCCTTGCACAATGCTAGGCGATAGCAATAGCGATAGGCGATAGCGATAACGATAGAAATAGAAACAGAAGAATAGAAAAATAGAATTTTCTGTTTCTATTTCTTTCGCTATCGCCTATCGCTATTGCTATCGTCTAGCATTGTGCAAGGGCTTTAATATTTGTATGAATTAAATATTAAATTTTTGTGCTGTTAATGATTAGAAAATATAAATATAGTTAAAACTATAAAAATAAAAAAAAAAGATGTTAATAGAGCCATTTTTTTACAGAAATATCTTTTGCGTATTAAAAGAAAATTCGTTTATCTAATTTTTTAGATAAGCACATGCTAGAGAAAAAATAACTTAATGCTATATCAATATATTCAATGCAATAATAGAAATATTTTTAAGGATTAATATATACCTTGCATACTGTTACTATCGATGGGTACGTCAAAATATCGAGTTTGATACAATCATAAGGATCGTCTGAGACCTGAATATCCGGTTCACCGCCATCGAGCGTTGCTGCAAGTACCTTTGGAATTTCAGTATTATATAACGCTGCCTTCACAGCGGCGCCGACAGCATCAAACAGATTTCCGCCACATTGAAGGATCTAGGAGAACAAAAGATGACGGAATGGAGTTTGGACTTTTAAGCAGCATTCTATCGTTTGATAATACTTACCAAAATGTCCACGTACATTTTCCAACATTTCTTATGAGGTATTATACACAACTGTCTTAAGTCAAAGACATCTGGTGTCTGATAAGCCATGGAAAGAACATTGCTTATCTCGGTCGCTAAATCGTCTCCGCCTTTGCCTTCGAACGCTGGTGTAGCATTAGCAGAACTGTGGAAGAGATAATAAAAATATGATATTCGATATTAAAACTAAAAATCTAAAACTAATGCGCATACCAGTCTACAAAAAAGTCCATTTTGCCTTCGTCCGGTTTTTCGGCATGCGGTGTGTCGATCTCCAGTTTCACGCCGACTAATACATCTGTAATGTTGCCAATGCGAAGTCTCGCCGATCCATGTGCATGTGGCATCAGTCTAGTTTCGATCTCGATGGAACGATATTGATATCTAGATCGACCGTCATTTCTCAGATCAAGCTGAAATATATTCAATTATTACATTAGGAAAATTAATAAGTAAATGCAATTAGGAAATAAATAAATGTATAAATAAAATATGTAAAAATAAAGTTTAAACTTATAAAATATATAATATACAGGGTGACCCACTAAAAGTGGTCACCCCCGTTTATCTTTTAAACTAAATGAGATAGACCGTAACAAATATATATCAAATTAAGTAGTTCAAACTCTATTGGGAGCATAGTGATTGTTTCCAAAAGCTATCTGTGTTAACGAATGGAGAGATATGCATCATTTTTTTATAACAATGAGTTTTTCGACAAGAAAAAAGTTATAGCGCTGCTTGAAATGAATACAACGATGTATGATAATGTAAATAATTTACATATTATATGAGTTTTATCAACTTGAAATATCGCGGGTGACGTCTACCTTTTCATTTTTGGTCCTGCGATATGGCCAACTTCGGATTGAATATTATGATCAAATGACAACATGACATACATCAATCTGTAATGCACAAGTCAGAAGTTGGCCATAACACAGGGCAGAAAGTGAAAAGGTAGACGTCGCCCGTGATATTTCAAGTCGATAAAACTCGTATAATATGTAAAATACTTACAGTCTATCATACATTGTTGTATTTGTTTCAAATAGCGCTACTATTTTTATCATATCGAAATATTCACATTATTATAAAAAAATTATGCATATCTTTCTGTTTGTTAACACAGATAGCTTTTGTAAGCAACCATTATACTCAAAATAGAGTTCAGTTTGAACCATTTAATTTGATATATATAAACATTCGCTAAATTGAAATACAGTGATTACATTGATTTCATCATTATCAAATACACTTACATCGACTCCATGAAGAATAAATGTCTTCTCGCCTAAGCCCAAAGGAGTCTCAGCCATTCTGAAGAGATTGATTTTTCCACAATAATGTCGATTTTACTTTAATTCAAAATCATGAATATAAAATATTTGCTGCTGTTTGTCACAATCATCGACATATATGGTTGTTCCGATTCCCCACCCGGGTGCATCCGATATATAGATATATACGAATTGCCAGATTGCAGATGCAACGGCACCGCCGTAGAGTTAGCAGAGAAATTAAATATTTTCTAATTATTTTATATTATATAATTTGGGAATCGTTTGGGGAAGTTTAGGAAAATCATTTTAACATTTAGGAAACAATATTTTTTTTTAATAATAAAAATTTATCGAGCGTCAAGTTAGCAGATCTTAATTATGTTTCATAAATATTATGAACGGAATCGATTAGAAATCATTTGGGAATAACATATTCATTAATATTTTTATTTGGGAAAGTCGCATTTTTGTAATTTAAATAAATTTGTGTATTCAAAAAAATGCGTTATGCACGCGGCATAAAGGATTCAACCAATCAGAGTCCTTTATTTCTAAAATGAAAGACTCAATAAAATATTTTCATGTGCGCTGGTCCTTAAGAGCAAGCAAAATGAACAAGATTCAACTCTATAACATTATGTTACGTATAACGTCGTCGGAATTGACGACGTAGATTTTATTATTTTACTGAATT